CCCGCGCCCCCAGCCCGCACCCTGGAGCGGCGGGCTTGTCACTGGCGGGGCCGTCGTCGCGGGAGGGGACTGCCACGGGCGGGGCTGTCGCGCGGACCCCTGCAGAGAAGAGACGGGTGGTGGAGCCGGGCGGCCTGAGGAGGTCCCATGGGGCAGGGTCGGTCGCGCGGGGCGCGGGAGGGGCAGTGAGCCCAGGGACCGGGGCGTGTCGCGGCTAGGTCCCTAGTGGGGTCCCGCGCCAAACACCCGGGCTGGAGGGGCCGTGGACACTGCGGCAGCGTTTGCGTCTTTCTCCCACTGTTTAAAGAAATACAGGCAAATGCGCCCTTTCACTGTGCATCTCTGCCGGTGTTTACACAGACAGCCCGGTGGGCACCACCGCTTTCAGGCTACAGAACAGTTCCACCCCCGACAGACCCCGGGGCCCCTCTTCCTTCCAGCCCTCCCGTGGCCCAGCCCTGGGGAGCTCGGGCTCTTCCCCTGCACGTCACATAAATGGAATAAAGCAGCCACAGCCTTCAGGTCTGGCCTCTGTCATTAGGCGGAGGGCCCTGGAAATTCAGCACCCCCTCTTTGCCAGGGGGACTCCGGCACCAGGCACCAGCTTGATCAGCCAGTCACCACCTGAAGGCCCTCGGAGTTGGTTCTGGCTTTGGGAGATCAAGAGCAGAGCTGCCATCAAGTCTGCATTCGAGTTTCTGTGTGAAGGAAATCCATTTTGCCTGGGGTGATACAGAGCAGGGATGCTGAGCGGTGGGGTCCAGAGTTGCCAGGACGCTTCCTCCAGAGTTGCCAGGACGCTTTGGGGCTGCGCGTTTACATCCCACTGCAGGGTGTGGGAGTTCCGGTTGCACCACATCCTCAGCAGCGCTTGGTATTGTCCGTTTTTAAATTCTGGCCATTCGGGACTTCCCTGGTTGTCCTGAGTTAAGACTTCGCCTTCCAATGCAGAGGGTGCGGGTTTGATCCCTGGTCGGGGAGATAAGATCCCACATGCCTCGCAGTCAAAAAACCAAAGCATAAAACAGAAGCAATGTTGTAACAAGTTCAATAAAGACTTTAAAAATGGTCCACATCAAAAAACCCCAAAAAATTTAAAAAAAAAAATTCTGGCCATTCTACTGAGTGTGCAATGGTGTTTCTTTGTGGTTGTCATTTGCGTTTCCTTAACAACTAATGATGTTGAATATTTTTATGTACTTAGTTGCGACCTGTATATAATCTTTGGCAAAGAGTCTATTCAAAAATTTTGCACATTTTTACTGTTTCCTTGTTGTTGAGTTTTGACAATTCTTTTATATCTTCGGAAAACCAGTACATTATCAAATATGTGATTCGCAAAGATTTTCTCCCAGTCTATGGCTTGTCTTTTCATTTTCTTAACAGTGCTTTTCAAAGAGCACAAGTTCTTAATTTTGGTGAGGTCCAATTTGTCCATTTTTTCCATTTTTTCCTTTTTTTCGTTTGCACGTGTCAAGTCTAAGAAACCTTATCTTTGCTTAACCCAACCCAGGGGCACAAAGATTTCCTTCTGCGTTTTTCTTCTAGAAGTTTTACAGTATTAGGTTTTACACTTGGGTCAGTGATTCAGTTTGAGCTAATTTTTGTACATGGTGCAAGGTATGGGTCAAGGCAGTGTTTTTTTTGTTGTTTTTTGTTTTTTTTTTTGCGGTACGCGGGCCTCTCACTGTTGTGGCCTCTCCCGTTGCGGAGCACAGGCTTCGGACGTGCAGGCTCAGCGGCCATGGCTCATGGGCCCAGCCGCTCCGCGGCATGTGGGATCTTCCCGGACCGGGGCACGAACCCGTGTCCCCTGCATCGGCAGGTGGACTCTCAACCACTGCGCCACCAGGGAAGCCCCCAGGCAGTGTTTTGGTTTGGGGTTTGGGGGTTTTTGTTTGTGGGGTGTTTTGCATGGATATCCAATCGTTCCAGCACATTTGTTGAAAAGATGAGCCCTGGGATGGTTTTGTAGCAGAGTGCCTCCGACGAGACACTGCCCTGCAAGCAGTTTCCCCAGCTCCCAGATAGTGGTTTTCCAGCAAGTTCCGGAGGGCAGATTTCCTGCAATTCTGCCAACACCACAGTGATTTCTCTGCTGTCCCGAGAGCCACAGCTGAGCTCTGCCAACAAGATCTCAGCCTGGGTGTTGGGGTTCCAGCTCAGCCCTACAGGTTACTTCTTATTTTGGCTGTGCTGCGCGGCTTGTGGGATATTAATTCCCTGACCAGGGACCCAACCCGGGCCCTCGGCAGTGAAAGTGTGGAGTCCTAACACCTGGACCACCAGGGAATTCCCTACAGGTTACTTCTTGTGTCTGGTCTTCACTCCAATCCTCCGTTACAGTTAGTAATTCTTGTAGCAAACTCTCCCGGTTGAGATTGCCTTGTGGCTTCTGTCTCCTGATGGGACCCCAACTGACACAGGTCCGGTGCAAAAGGGACATGGGCTTTTTTATTTTTATTTATTTTTTTGGCCACACCTCACGGCTTTCGAGATCCTAATTCCCCAACCAGGGCTTGAACCCGGGCCCTTGGCAGTGAAAGCGCAGAGTCCTAACCACTGGACTACCAGGGAATTCCTGACATGGATATTTTTATAAAACTTATGGAGACCCTACACCCCACACTTTGGACCACGTGGCCCACCCGCAGTCATCCAATATCCTCAACCAAATGATTGTTATACTCGGATTGATGACCAGGATGGTCCCATAAGAGAGTCCAGGTGGCTGGACCAGGATTAAGTTTGCACCCCCTCGATCCCCTTGTGGACCCTCCAGGCTGGCCAGAGGGTCCCCTTAGGAGAAGGGAGAAGCATCTGCAGGGAGGGTTGGGGTAGAATCCTGGTTATCCCCAAAGGATCTGCATAACCCCACCCCCACCCTTTCATGCTGGTCATTGCCAAGGTGACCAAACAGAGGTGCTCCTCTCTGGGGACAGCCATGTTCAGTGACCAAGCTGCCTGGCTAAGGTGTGTGGGCCAGAAGGAGGGGATGGAGGTAGAGTCAGAAATCTCCTAAGCGAACTTTGGAGAGGCCATTCCAATGCTCTGTGACACCAGCGGCTGTGGGCATTGGGAAGCGGGGAAGGGCCTCTGGCACCTTGACTGCCAGCCCACTGTGGGGCGGCTTTTGTGATGAACAAGCACCATATCAGGCTGCAAATGAAGCCAAACACACGACGC